AAGCAATAAAATAAAATGAGCGAGGCCGACAGTATTTCAGAATTAATAGGTAGCACTGAGCAGAGGAAGGCTCGGCGCTGACGTAAAGATCAACAAGGCATAAAAGTGATCATTCACTCCGCAGAAAATTACTTGTGTTATTCCACTCCCCCCCAAAAAAACAAAACCAAAACAAAGTTGAAATATGCATCAGACTTTTTTACATCTTTGATTGCCTGAAAGAGCTCTTGACCTACACGGTCTAATTTGCATCAGAGGTGGTCTCGGGCTCTGAGCAGGTCACCACCTGCATAAAGAATTGTAAATTACTTGGTGGGCCTAATTGCCCATGTCTGTGGCATTACTAAAAACCACTAGGGCTGTGCTAACTCTATTGTCAGATACTTAATCAAGGCCACCGGATTTATTTCCTTGCACTTGTCTGGGGACAAGCACGAGCAGAGGCCTGGGTAATTGGATCTTTTTCACGTCTAAAATTAACCAGCTATTCTTAGCCAGAGTTAGACTTTGCAAATGATAACAATAATCATATCGACCATCACCGTACAAGGCCGTGGCTTCCTTCCTAGTGGCTGCATAATGTATGACAGAGCCAGACGTTGCTCAGAATGACCTTAGCTGTGAGGTTTGGTGCCATTATGCCAATCATACACTGCAACACTTGATCAGTCACAGGCCCAAGAAACTCAATTATTCAGCCTCTTACCTCACACAGACTCAGCAGAGGCAACAGGCGCCGAGGTCGGTCTGATTCCTGTCCAACGGATCTAACGCAGGAAATGACAAAAAGTCATATTAATAAAAATTAATGTAACACAATTAGCATGGAGCTCATGAGGCAAACGTTATAGTTCAGGGCTCTGGACATTTTTCATATTCTTTTGTTGCGCTAGTGCTCATAAATTAAACCCTAGATGGAAAATCCAAAAATAAGTTAAATTATATAGAGAACATATAATGTTATAATGAAAAATCCAAGTCAAACTTTAAAATCATTTTATAAAACAAAAGTTTCATTAAATTAATTTCTCAATTTGTTTTTGACACTAGACAACAACACACTTTCCTTTGACAGATGTCAATTTGACATAGCTGGAAAACTCAACCAGCAGATGGTGGTTAAAGTGAAAGTGGTCTAAAATAAGGGTCAGGATCAGCCCATGGTGCAGCCTTAGTTGAGACGCACAGATGAAAATGAGGTTTTTCAGTAGTGGTTAATTGAATCCAAGAAAGGCGATTGAAATGCAATGCTAATGAAGGTGTAGAGCCACACCTACAGGCAAGAAGAGGGAGAGCTTCTTGTTTACAAAAACATACAAAATACCTGCATACTTTATATACTATATACTTCATACACTATTTACTCCTTAAATCAGAAATCTGAGTAATTCAGAGAATATTGACTCTCAGACAAGGGATGTTTTTCTTTCTTTTTTTTTTTTACTTGACTGAAAATAATTCTCCAATACTGAATCAAAGGATGCCAAAAAATGTGCCCAGAACAAGTATTTTCTGGACAGAGTGTACCATTACCACACGACCCAACAAATACAGCACCCAATACATCCACTGAGTATGCAAATATCAAATTTTTCATAGGGTATTTTCTAACATAACTCATCTGGATCAATGTGGACCAGGGTAGATGCAGCCGCGGTAGGAGAGCTCCCCAGGCTGGAGGCATGCAGAGGGGATGTGGTCTGTGCAGGGATGTCAGCAGCATAATGGCCAGCTGAGTCATAGGTTATAAAAAGCTGTCATTAGGGATTTCTGTCCTCAGCAGCTCATCACACAAGACCTGTGAATTATTTATTACACTGGAAACTCAAGTCCATCTGGTTTCCTCCATTTCCACCGGCTTGTTTAATAAAAGCCCGACATTTAGCACGTTAATAAATGTCTTTAAGGAGGAGTCCAATATATAATCAGGAAGTCACTTTAATAACCTCACTACGGTGATTATGTTTTTATTATGGCTGCAGAACGATATATACAATGAGAACTTAATGAGGGCATTAATATAGTGATAACGTTTAATCAAAGTGTTTATATTATTAGAACACACCTTGTAAACCGGCTAATTAGTGATTTAGCCTCACTAATAAAGTGGATTTCAATCACAGGGCTTGATTGTTTTCGCTTAAACCAAAGTTTTAGGAGGACATTTTGCAGCCATGTGATGTCAGAGTTCATGTGCTGATTGGTGTCTTTAAGAAAAGAATCACTGACTGAAGTTTCCGGATTAGATACCATGACTAGCATGTTCCGCAATTCAGCAAAAAAGAAAAACTACAACTCCCAATAAATCAGCTCCACTTCATGTTTCCCCCACCCTTTGCTTTTTGATAGCAAAGTCGATGCAAATCAGCTCAGGCATTTTCCTCACTTTGTTCTGTTCTCTCTATATGAAAACGGTTAAAAATCCCATGGGTCAGTGAAAATGATCCTTCCACTCCAGTCGCCTGCTCTAAGTCAGCCAAAACATTCCAGACATCAAAAGGCAGCTCTGCCTACCAGGGCCATTTGAGTGTCCCAACCTCCATGGCTCAGGAGGACTTGGTTATTTGGATAAATTAATTTCTGGAGTCTGCCTGAGTTGCAAAAACAACCTCCTGCCTGACAGCAAATTAGTCTAACTGCAAAACCCCGAAAACGCTCACGGTGAAAGGAAACACCTTTCCTTCTGTTTAAAGGCAAAATTGATTTTCTCCTTAGTGATGACTAAGCTGCGCTAAAGGTTTTATGTATGCCTTTGATCGGTTTCATACAGAAATATTTTTTAAAAAATGGTGGAATATATTAGTAAACCAATCTGCTGGCAGGTGAAGTGGTTCAGCATCAGCACAATGGCTCTAAAGTACACAGGCAAGTTTAGAGTTTATGTCAACATGGTATTCGGAAGAAAAATCTACATTTATGATATACTTACGTAACGAAACGCAGACAAAGCAATACGTTTCTGAGAAGAATGCTGAAATATTACCAAGACAAGGTCATAATCTAATTAGTTTACATAATTTCTGGAAGAATTAAACTTTTATTCTCATATTTTTCATCTTTTTCTGGTAGTAATACAACTTTAACCTCTTAATTTCACACCTTAATTTAGCATATTTTTGTGACGTGGCCTTTTATACCACATTGCAAACACTCAGCTGACAGGCTGCACACCATTAGACAGGCTGATGTGAAAAAAATGTAACAGCTGTCAGTGGTATTGAAAAATGATATAAAACTGCAATCTCTTGAAGACACTAAAGTTTATAAAAGACAAAGGAGAAAAAAAAAGCGATAAGCCACAGAGCAGAGACTGTGAAACTAGGGGAAAGAAAACGGTTATGGAGAGAAATTATGCAAACAGATGAAGACAATCCAGAATTAATGGTCCGCAACATTTTCAGGCTCTCCGAGAGCTGTCCAAGGACACCATAGGGGAGACGACGTGGCCCCAGTAATTGGAGGAGCATGTAACTTCAAAAGTGAGGAGAACAGACTGTAGAAGTTCCCTCTGAAGTCAAGTCCTAAAGAAAACGTGAAGCACATGTATACTACAGTAGGCAATGTGCTACATGTGTGAGATAAAATTGTTCTGCTCACTACTGCAGACATGACACAGTGCAGTATTCATGTGGAGCTACCGCACTTTTATAAGCATGTGCGTTCACTCTCTTCTGTTCCAAACTTGAAAGTTACAGCTGTTCCATCTCGGGGCGAATACTGAATAATACGGAACGCCACAAAAAATGAAAGTGATTCAAAAACAAAACAAGACATTCCACAATATCAATAAAGAAAGCCATAAAGTATGTCACTCGGAGGACATGAGCTCACGCAAAGACAAAGAAAAGGGTTTAAAGAATAAAAAACCACAAGTCACAATAAATGTGTCTTTTACAGTGTGGTGGAGTTTGACTGTGTTCTCCATCTTTCACAGACTGGATGATGTTTCAGTGAGAGAATCTGTAGACGGGCTTATAAAACCAGGGCCTTGTCAGACGATGATATAATCACAACATAAGAGCATGATACAGTATCATTAGTGGTGGTTGGCGTCATTGTTTGAGCAAAGTGCCAAACATTTAAAAAAAAAAAAAAAAACTATCAACTTACGCTTCTTTGTTCTGTTTCAGTCATTTTTAGACAGTTGTTCAGTAGAGGAAAGTTTTTTAGAAAACAAATCGCCAACTTTATTATTTAGGCAACTACGTAGCCAAACTAGTTCTAGTTTTGCTATATCCTATATAATGTAACAGATTGCTGATTACCATGCAATTTATTTGTTAGCATGTTGCTGCCTTGAGAGCTAGGTTTTATTTTATGTATTCTCAAAATTTTAGCAATTATAGCTAATAATATAGACACATGGTTTGTAGCTTGTTGCCAGCTGGGGAACATACTATTTAGCCATATACACTAATTAGTCATTACCTTTAAGCTAATTATTATGTTTCATTCTATTGATATCGATGGTTTTTATTTGGGTAAGTTTGCCATTTTATTTACCCTATTTATTTATTTTTTGCTCAGTATAAAGTGACTTCTAGGCTAACATTAAATGTTTTCAGTGACTTGAACTGCGATAATGTGAAGCCTTTACATCTGTTTTTGGTTTATTTGTTAAAGTAAAGTGGCCCGTAAGTGATTTTTCCCTTTATTGAAAGTGCTCCCCTGCTGTTTGAATCTTGCTGCGCGGACTACAGTAAAACCTGTTGTACAATACAGCTTACTTAACTTACAAGTTCCCGCAGCAGCGCTTGAACTGTGAGTAATATTTGAGAAAGGATTAAAATCTTTATCACTGAGTGAGGCAGACAAAGCAAACATGATAGCAGTGTGCTGTTCTTCTTTTCTACTGGTCTAACTGTAGCATAGTTAACTAATACAGTTACATCCAAAGAAACTCAACAGTAACCTCATCTTTATATTAAAGTAGGTATACAGAATATAAAGTATGTGAAGTTTTTAAATTACTTTAGAACAATGAGGGAATGTTTAGTTTTTTTGTTGATGTCACTATTTGTATTTTAAAAAATGTCATCTTCACACATCTGATTCAGTGAGAGGTTATTTCAGTACTTCTGGTCTACTGGAAGGAACTGCGCCTCCAGCCTTGTCTGTTATCAGGATGGCATGACTTTGACACAACATACACTTCTGTCTTGATGATGTGCTTGAGCTATACATCACCAAAATGAGCCCGTGACAGAGGAAAATGAAGACAAACTGTATCACGTTGGAATGGGAAAAGCAGAGGGGAACACAATCTTTCCAAGGCCCTTTTGGTCTGAGGGTCGTAGGAACACCAGTGAGTCAATCCAACATACACCAAGTGAGAAGAAACGTCCATTTTTAACCTGCTATCCATCACTGTCAGTGTGGTGCACGGTTTAAAAGAGGAAATAATTAGACAGAGAAATGATTGCTGCCCGCAGCAGAATAAATGGAGGTAAAACATGGATAGAACTGCTGTTAACTTAAGGCAAATGATCTTTTGATGAATGTTCACACTGCAATCCTCACTACCTGTGAAGAGTGACGACGTGAGAGAATACTATTCTCTCTGACTATTCACCTCAGAGGAAAAACCGTGAAACTTTACAAGGAACACAATACAATTTCAGACATTTGTGATGATACACATGGGCTCGCTTGATTATGCAGCGTAGACCTCAACCATCAATCCTAGAAATTCTTTTCGCTTCTGAGTGTAATATCAATTCACATGCAGAGAAAGGTCTACACTGAGGGTAACCAAACAAATACGTTTTTCCCTCAGAAATAACAGTTTTAAGTACTGCTGACGATGTCAAAACATTTGTCTGGCCATATTCAAAGGCGTTGCAAAAACTAAAGGCTAACTGCTGCTCCTCTTGCTAGGACTATGTTACTATAGTGAGGTATCTATGCATCATGTATTCAAGATGTATTTTATACAAAAATAAATTACCCAGTAGAGGATTGAGGGAACAAATGTCTGTGAACAGCTGAAAATAATAAAACAAATAATGTAAAAGCTAAGGGTTAGCCTTAAAAATGTAATCCAGGCTTATTTTTAACTCTTCTTGAAAAAGCATCGCAAGCACCTGGTGATGTTATTGTTTGACACCCAGATAGTAAGTGCTCTACAATAGTGGAAATAATAACCAAAACAATAGGCAGGAAAATCTAAAACGTTAGTAAACCAATAGTAACAAATATGTAGCTAAAACCAAAGGTTGACCAGAAAAATCAGTTTACCAAAAATCCCTTACAATTTAATTATGTTTTTATTAAGCTTAGCTTAAATATTGTAGCACAGGTTGAAAAGTTAAACAAAAAAAAAAAAACAAAAAAAACATGAATAGGTAATGATGAATAAAAATTTTCACTATTAAGGTTTCCTACTCTGGTGGCAGACCAGGTAAAAACATTGACCACATAAAGCCCATCCATGTGCCACCATTGGCCCCTGGGCCTCATTTTGGACATACCTGTTTTCCAAGAAAGAACATTTCTACTACAAAATTATATAGTTGGTTATTTATTATGTAGTTTTTGCATTTTATTACTTCAAATTAAACGCCACAGCACTGTGAATACGAAGTGACGCAGCGAACAAAACAGTGACAGAAACGGTGGGTAAGTCGTGTCACAGCTGTCTGTACTTACTGCGTGTGCGTCGTTCAGTGTGTATCAGAGTGTGTGCTTCAGAGTGTGTGTCACCACTGTCACCACATGCAACAAGTCTCCCCCTTCTCTGCCGTCTCCCTCCATCCACAAACGGGACTTTCTAGCTCTCCCTTCCACCTCTGGCACAGTTGCGCCTCCAAAAACAAAAACGCACGCGTGTGTATGAAAACACGCAGCTTTGAGCTGATCCACGCTGCTCGTCCCTCACACGTGAGCTGGAACTGTTCACCGCAGCACCAGAGTGGGAAGGTTACAGCGAGGTGTTCGTCAGAATCTGTGCGTAACCGTGCGCACCACAGACACAGACACAAAAACGCAGGGAAGAATTTTTTAACGCACGCAAATAAACTTCCTTTTTGTTGTTGTTGGTTTTGGCTCGTTTATTCTCGGTATTTTAATCGCTTATTTAAATACGTCAGATCAAATAAAGACAGTGTCGACATCAGATACAGTTTCCACAACCGAAATACACACTTCTATCCAAATCCACTTGGATTTTTGATGTACAAGAATAGTTCCTCTGTAAAATAGATCACTTCATATTTCTGTTTATGAACTAAAGCGCCACCTATAGGCCCTCAGCACGCCTCCCCATGAATACCAACAATGGGAATACAATATTCTGTATGGATTATGTTTTTATTGAACGTTTTACAGATTTTGTTTATTATATAAATTTATATATATATATTATATTTTAAATAAAAATAGCATTTTATACATAATACTTTAATACAATTTTCATAATTACTTAAGGTGTATTTCAATAAAATGAAAGAGTACTTTGGATAAAAATGAGAGATGAATTAACAATAATATTAAATTTAACATTATTTATAAAATATTTCCCAATATTTCACTTGAATTGTTTTTCTTTATATACAAATAGAAATGAAATAACAATTTCACATTAGTCTGAATTTTGACTAGTTGAATCTCTAGAATCTCTCTTTTTTTGTTTGCAGAAATTTATATTTCTACATAAAAAAATAAATTATTGGATTGAAACATCTTGCATTTTCAAGTTCAGAATTAACATGTTTTCTGAGAATCCATAGATATGAAAATTATTTTTTTCTGCTTTAATAAAAATAATTGTTAAACTAACATAAAATGATGTGAAAACACATACTTCCTATTGTCTGGAGCCTGAACACTGAAACCTTTTTTTAAGTCCTTTCTCATTATTAACACATTACCTGTGATGATCAACCAGAAGATACTGTTAGATAAGGAGTGCTTCGCTTTTTTTAAGTTGGTAACCGATCTGACTTTACAATATTCCACAGGTTCAAAACTCCATTAATGCCTCCATAAAACAATCATCAGGTTGTTAAAGTAGCCTGACAGCCTCTGTAGGGCAGTTGTCATTCTGATCCTTTAACAGCATCATCCTAATTGAGCTGGATGCTTAGACGGACAGGCTTTAATAGCCTTCAGCAATACATCACAAGACAATTCAGATAATTTGCTGCATCAATTGACTGTTCACATAATCACATTTGCTTTTGAAAAACCACTCATCCAAAGGTTCCAGGCGGAGCCTTCATTTGGGCACAGCAGCCCACACACCTTCAGATAAAGGGATGCGAGTGGATGGATATTGCCACGTATCCTTGAGAGCATTTTTTAATTTCTTGGTGCTCCATCTGTTGGAAATGATAAAGTGCAGCCATAATGGAGTGCAACAAGATTAAATTAATCAGGTTTGTCCATTATACTGCCGCAGGCTCTTCACGGATGATTGCAATTTTCTCTGTCAGGCCCATTATTGGGAGATCTGTTTAGTGGCTTGATGCAATTAAAATGGACTTAATGTAAATCTAACAATACAAATAACACTTCTGTCTGTGTATGTTTCAGAGAGGCGCGGCAGCCGGGTCCAGGAGAGCAACGGTAAACACGCACTGCAACCATTTTTAACTTCAAACAAACCGGGCTGCTATTTGATTAGTGTGGGCTCGGTGATCAATAACTATGTTTCATGTTTTCATGTTCGCCGTGATGTCGAAGGATCTGGTTCCAGAGACCACCCTCGTCTGGATGTTGGCTGTAAGGAACACAACACCTTCCACAGGCGTATCATGATGCCCATAGATCATCTGAACCTGAAGAGGGTGTGTGNAGTCAAGGTCTAATGGAGTGGCTCTGATGAAAGTGCACGCCTGTACTCCTGTGTATAAATCTCACGCTTTACTGCAGTAGGTGAAGCAGACTTGAGAGAATTTTATTAATTTTTCCCGGAGCTGATCTAATATCTCCCTGATTGGTTGCTTCCTCCTGCTGGATCAAGTCGCTGCCAGGGGACGCGGTGTACAGGATGTGAGCAGAGCAGGAGGAGATCTCGGCCTGGTGCCACAAAAAACTCCACAAAGGTGGAATTGCAAACAAAAGATTTTATAATTTCCGGAAAATTGTTGGTACGTATTTCTCTAATGAAACAAAAACAAAATCAGCATTTTGGTAATGCATTTGAACCTTTATAACATGAAAAAAGAAAAAAAAAAGCCCTGCAAAATACTCCAAAAATATTTTTTTATAGTACTTCTGGGGTTCTGAAAAAAAGTCTGCTGCCATTACAGCGCCTTTTTTAACAATTGTTTTGTTTTAAGTTTTATTTGTTCGACGGTCTGGTCGTGTTTGTCTGATTCTGCTCTTCATTTGAGCCAAAAACTTTAAATATGAGCAACACTGTGGTTGAGTGGTTTTTGTACTTGCCTTACAGCAGGGAGAATAGATGGTCATTGTGTTTGGAGTCTTCATGCTCTCCCCATGTGTGCCTGATGTTTCTTCAGATGCCTTGATTTCTCCTCTCCAGTCTGCAAACAGCCAGCGCAGGGGTTAATTATTTACTTTAAATTGACCTCAGGTATGTGAGTGTGAATGTGATGGTTGTCTCAAACTGTGGCTCTGTGAAGTGGCCATTATTATAAGCCTGACTCTTTCTAATCAGAACCATGTTACCTTCACATACAGTACAGTTCATTCAGATCTGTTCTACTGTACAGTAGCACCTCAGCTGACTTCATTAGACTTCAGTTCTAACAGTCATCAGATTTGTTTATACATTGTTTTTTTATACATCCCGGATAAATAAAGACCTGGAAGGAAGCCACTGTTTCTGCACAACATAGATATATGGCTTTGGCACTGCATATCAAAGGTTTAGTTGTGTGTATGTGTCTGTGTGCAGCAAGAAAATGACTAAACCCAGAATAAATCTAAAGAACGTTTAAGGATTAATTCATTCAACTTAATTCAGGCCACAATGATATCTCCAGTTGACATGGCTACAGTAGTTTCATTGTAGCATCAAAGAGGATGTGCTCCTGAAGACCTGAAATGCCCTTCACATTCAGCAGCAGTTTGCACCCTTGGCTTTTATGCAGAGTTCTCCTGACTCCCAAAATGTTGAAACTGTTTTTAACTTTTCATTCTAGAAGCAACTTTTTGGAAGACAGTGTTTTTTAAAACTGCTGCATTCTTTGCATTCTTGAAGTCAACATAGTGTTAGATTTATGTTACACTTTAAAAATAAGAGTTTTACTTTTTTTTTCCCACCTACAAATATTCTCCAGATCTGGTGATACCAATGTCCTGAGACTCATTTTTCATACATCTACCTGGAACCTGAGGATCACATCTGTTTTGGGTGATTTTACTGGAGTTGAGGCAACTCAGCTTAAGGTTATTGTGGCTAAATAAAGAATTACCAGAACCAATCAAACAATGCCCTTTATTACATTACACATATATGCTACGATTCATCTTGAGGTCAGGTGCTTTGTGTTAGCTTCCTATCATGTTACGGACAACGTGAAATAACTTCCACACCTGGACAAAGTAGGGCATGTTTTTTTTTTTGTTTTTTTTTTTACAGCACGCAGGGTGGAGACAGCATTTTTATTCAAATCCTGTTTTTTTCCTCTTCTCCTTCTTTTTGTTTATCACACAATGAGATTTTATTCTACCTGCTGTGTGTCTCCGCTGCCTGTGCGTAGCAGGAAACCTGAGGAGCTATGCAGCAGGGTGTTCGTTGGAGACACCTTTCACACAGGACACATTCCAGAGGTGGTGACAGGCCAACAACAAGTCAATCAATCACATTCTGTGCAGCAGTGATTTAGGAGCTGTCATACTATCTCTGTTGTTGGCCACAGGACTGCAGTGTGAGTCAGACGAGGAAGTGAGACAACACAGGGCTTTTTGAACCGCTGAGGACACGTTGAAAAAAATAATGGCTACACACACACACACACACACACCTGACCTTCTGCAAGCTACCTTTAAGATTATGCAATGATGAACAGGCTTCTTTTTTTAAATTAAATAAATTTGGCTGGAAGAAAGCTGTTCATATAGCTATTCATTACATATATCATTAGCTCACTTTAGGTCATTTTGAAGGCTAACTTTTTTGCATAATTTCTGGTCTGGTTTTAGCTTTATATGAAAATATTTTTTTTATATTTTCTCTGCTTTTACTGCTGCATTTAATCCTAACATACATACAGTGCTGACATACTGTATCTGTCTGAGTGCAAGGCCTTAAATTGACTAAATCACTGGTTTATCAATTACTTTGCATGCACCAAATGGTAACACTGTGCTGCATTATTTAAGCTAAGTCCTGGATTGTAATTTATATATTCTACTTGCAAACCTTTCTACATTTCAACCCTGGGAACATTGAGAAATATATTAAAACATTGCTTTGGTGATATTTGACCTAGAACGCTGTCCAGTTGCCAAATTAAACACCCCTGCAGGTACGGTGGAGTGTGTAAAAGCATGAAAATTGCTGCCCAATCTGTCCTCTATCAGTGGTTCTATTGGAGAGGAAGTAAGGCCAGTGTTTAAGAGGAGAGTGAAAAATAATGAGCCACCCGTTCCAAAAAATGTTTTACACAAACACAAGTACTGGCATCACTTGCCAGAATCTCCCACAAAAGAATTTACGAAGCCTTAATCCAGCGGGATAACAGAAAGAATGAGAAACTTGTACGGCAGAAGTGTTCAGTACAACTCTCTGGTATGTTTTTGGAGTATTCCTAACATTACATGGACAAGGTTGGCTCTAGACACAAGAATTATTCTTCTTAAATTTCCCTGATTGTTCTAAAAATTGTTCTAAACTTTCCCACTTGGCTTTTTTTAAAAGACATTTTCAAACTATTTCTGACAGATATGTTTCCATTTTTAGATGTTGAGTCTTTCCAGTTATCATCAAAAATCAGTTTTGGTAAACTAGGTTGTAGGTTGTTGTATAAATACTACAACGCAAAATACAGGAAATGGACAGCCTTATGCTCCAACTTAGTGGTTATAATGTGCTTAAAATAGCTTCAGTTTTTGCAAAGTCTATAGAACGTTTCTAGTATTTGTCTTAATGATGTACTACCAAAGG